GAACCACTCTTCTTCCGGTTAGTTTGACCGACTGACTATGTGTGGTACACCGAATAACTCACCGTGGTGCTCTTCACAGCTCACACTTTGTCCGTTAGAATTTAATCGCTACAGCATATCTGATCAATGTGTCCCCATCACCCACCCACCCCCTCACACAGGATGATTTCATCTTTTCTCCAATTTTTGTAGTACCAATCGGCGCTAACCACGCGTCTACCAAGTCGTCCTTCGTTAACTTCAATATACTCGTCTACGTTGGAAAAGGAAACGAGTATGAACGTGGTCCCTGTGGTACCGCGAGAAGAGGAACGCCATATCAGCCAACTTTCACGTGATTTTGTCGTCGAGGTTAGTTGTTTTCCCGATATATTTGCCCCTTATTTCATGAGAGTGACTTTTACTATCCACTGTTTGTCAGTAGTTTGAAGGAAAATAGAAAAAATATTGACTATTAAAAGGACCCTGAAACGAAAAGATAAGTCGCTGAAACAGTGAAAGGTTGCACTCTTCACAGAATTTCTCAGGTGATTAGTTCTACAGATTCCGACTTTGGATAACAGGAAAATACTCTTGGACTGATAGTGCGATTATGTCTGCTGATCTCTGACTTCTTTGTTTGGGATTATGATTTTGATCATTAATATTGTTGCTATTATCCGTATTGCACTTCTCAAATGAAATTACAGTATCGTCCGGTTGATGTGGTGGTTGAGGTGCCGATTCCACCCCAGTTCGTGCAACCATTGAGCAGTGTCATGGCGGCTGAGGGTACACGTGTCGTACTGGACGGAGTAGTAACTGGACATCCACAACCAGTTGTTTCATGGTATCGTCAAGGGACAAAACTTGAAGACGGTCCAGATGTCCGCCTGGATTTCCACGACGGTCAAGTACGGCTCACTTTACCGGAGGTGGGTTATTCACAACGGCTTGGATATTAAACCACTTACCTGCTTAAAATATTGAAATAAACTACTTCTGAAGTTTACATTTTATACTTCTGAATCTTTCCCTTCCAAACAAATCAGAACGTGAGTCTTTATGGCAAACCTTTTTCTATGCATAAATTTATCTTCACATTGGGTGCATTCACACCTCACACCGAATGGAATAAAAGGGAGCTCGGACCAACAATCCCATTCTTTTTTGTAGGCATTCGCTCAGGACACCGGGGAGTACACGTGCGAGGCAGAAAATGTGGCTGGTCGTGCTCAAAGCACAGCGACGATTATCATCCAAGCCCGCTTGATGGCACCACACTTCGTAAAAGGACTGGAGAGCCAAGTCATTCACGAAGGACAATCTATTCGTTTGGTTGTGAAAGTAGAAGGCCACCCACCGCCAACCGTAACCTGGTGAGTGTATTCTCCAATTGATTCCGTAGTATCTAAACGCAAACTGACTTGGTTACACCTATTTATGAACAGCTGATAAATGATGCGTGTGTGTGTGTGTGTGTGTATTCATGTAGAGGCTAATCACAGACTAATGCCAAGGTCAGCGGTGCATGTAGCTGTTGTCTACTTTTAATGTGTGTAGACTGAATTCAACCAAAAGTTCTGTTCATGTATCCAGTATTTCCTTGAATATATTCGATAACTTGGTCTCCTATAACTGTCATTTCACTCACCAATTGGTATTGGCGTAACCCCCTTCGATGTGACCAATCAGGACTTGCAACGGTCGGGAAATTGTCAGTTCACCACACTACATCTTGGAGGTCAAAGGTGATGGAACTCATGTGCTGAATATCCCAGAAGCTTACTTTGACGATACCGGTCGATACACAGTAATTGCCAGAAACCCAGCTGGAGAAAGTGTCACCTCTGGTCTGCTGACTATGCAAGGTTAGTCCTAGAAATACACCCCTCGACGGCTTTCCGATAGGGTATTTTTGGCACATTACTTTCACACTTAATCACTCTCCCCTCCCTTTCAATCATTTACTGAATCTATCATTTTATTTCGGAAAATTTTTCAGAACCAGAGCATAGACAACCAACACCATTGAAGGAGGTGCATCACCATGAACTGACCGTTCAGGTGGAGAGTCTCAAACAGACTCCGTTGCCATCACCACCTTCACCGAAGCCACAACCAGAGAGACCACAATTCTCGCAGGTTAGTACAATGATCTCAAGTCAAGAATCGGTTTTAAATTAATAATCTAATAGTTTATGAGTGAACAGAGTGTAAAACATATTCCTATGGTCACAGAAGATTTATTTTCTCACCCACCGCGATTGTTCTCGAACGTTTTTCACCGATTTAATTGTGAAATTTGCGGGTGACTGACTAAAAAGCGTTCTATCTCGAAAAGGACAAAACAATGGCGATATGCTGATGGTGACGTGTGTACGAACCGCAGTCAGAGCAATGTCAGCATAAGCGAAAACCTCAACATGAGCTTACTCGCAGGATCGATCGATCGTTTGCGGACCGTCAAGGCCTGTCCTAGAACAAGGACAAGGGCATGATATTCCAGTATTGATGTGTGTTAGCACGCACGCGGTCGCATTAATCCTTTTGTTCACTCACCCGATGCAGACGTAAAATGAGCGGACGACCACACGAACAGAGCTCATCACGTGTTATATATTTAGTCACATGCATGTGACTGTATCACACTGAGAAATCAGGGGCGGATCAGAGCAAAACTCACCGGGACACACGTGTGGCATGAGTGAGTAGTAACCCTGTAGTCATCGTTCGAATCAAAGCAGTTAAGCGATGTCCTTAACTAATAGCTTCCATCATGCTGTGTCCGGATTAATCGTCAGAGCATTATCCACTTCACGGTTTGGGAAACTGGGCGTCCTCACCAGTTTTTCTCCGCATGGTCTATAGTTTTACTCAATTATGTAGGCTTATTACGACCCACTGACCTCGCTTAACTTGCCTCTTGTTAGCACGGTTACGAATTAAATTCCAATTCAGGTTAGTTGGTACCCTTTATCCCGAAATCATTGTTGTGCCCAATTTCAGACATTCCCACCGGAAATGGAATTGATCGAGGGTAATCGATTAGTGCTCACCGTCGAAGCTTGGGGCAATCCGCTTCCATTTATCCATTGGTTCCGCAATGGTCAACCCGTCCATGAAAGACCGGATTGCCAGATCACTCAAGTCGGACCCCCGTTAGACCAACCGGAGCAATTACAACCACGTCCGGTACGTATGACCGGTCAATTAATAATCAGTGAGGCGTTCCTGGAGGATTCCGGTCAGTACACGTGTATCGCAGTGAATGATGTGGGTCAGGCTGAGACAGTGGGAACCCTGCATATTATACCAAAACGTGAGTTCGATGCCTCCGTCTACTTGTAATAAATTTTGAGTTCCGATAGAATAATCTTCATGAGGAACGTTGTGCTTTTTGCAGAATATGACCCATTATGTTGAAGCATAGGCGTTGAATGTCTTTATTATAATTTCTGATAGATGTCAAACAATCACTAGCTCATATCGACTCATACCCGTCTAGAGTGAGCGTTGCAAAAATAAAGTAAACTTCATTTGCTTCTCCCGTGTGTTTAGCGGCACCCTCGGAACCAAAACCTGTCGTGGTCCAGGAACGGTTTGAACCACCGGAATTGATACGGTCTCCACCGTTCTCCCTAGAAAATGAGCTCGATCAACCATTGATTTTGGAGGCTGAAGCGATCGGTCATCCGATTCCGGATGTACGTATCTACCACAACGGAAAACTAGTCACATCGGATACGAGACACTCGCTGGAAGCTTTACCCGGGACGGGTAGAATTAGCATGTGTGTGACCAAATTCGGTCCGCAGGATGAAGGTGACTGGACGATTGTGGCTACCAATTCCGTGGGTACAACGAGTAAAACCGTCGTGGTCACCACGAAAAAACCAATGTGAGTGCTAATGCTGGTAGTTTCGATTTCCTGAGACAATTCCCTTCTCCTCCCACTTTCCCATTACCCGTCTAATTTCATCTTTGTTCACCCCCTCCCCCGTGCACAACTCTGGTTAATCACTCCCAGTCCGATTGAGCCGGAGATACCCGATTTTCCTGAGGTCGAGCTTCGATTCACAAAACCACCAACAATGTCACCGCCTAAATTCCTCGACCTACTGCCCGAGAGGATTGAAGTGGATGAGAACAAACCGATTGTTCTTCGATCTCGAATCACTGGAGAGCCGACTCCCACACTGTACTGTCTCGTGAACGGACAGCCGTTGCAACAGACAGATGTCGTGCGTTGTTCGTTTGAGGTAGGCATCGACATCGTTCAATGTGTCCTCTATAAATGATTCATTTTTGTTTGCCTGAGTTAATTTACATTTAACTCACTGTTACGTATGACTGATTTTAATCGAGCATTGTTTAGACTCCATCTTCACGAACAATCCTCGGTGCATCCAGTCTACCATACACTCGAAAAGCATTAGAGTTGAATCGTTAAGTGTAGCTTACTCCGGTTCGAGCTAGTTAACACAGTTTTTACACACATGATTTCGATGCGATGGGTCCGGATTTCAAAGCCCGGAAGGCGTAGGGACACAAATTACTGATGAGTTGTAAGCAGCAGCTCGAGTTTGGTGCTTCTCGGTTTATTTGGTTTACTGAATGAACTGAGAATTATGCGTGAAGATGAAATCTGGAGGATGGTAAATTCAACTAAGTGCAACTAGGTTTGTTCCCGCACAACCCGATGAAGTAGCATGAACCATTTAACGCACGAGGTTATTTAATGAATCACTGATCACAATTTACGGTGGTGCAGTTGTGATTGCCGGTCTCCTACTACTTTTAATTTTACGCAACTATCTCCTGATCAAGGATGTATTGGTAATTAGAGTAGCATCTCTCCATAAAAGACGACTCAGAGCCAGTTTAGCAGAAATACGAAGCGTGAGTAAAGTGTTTCCGGGTGCACAAAATGCATTCTTCGTTATACAAATATAAACACTAAAATTTCTCGAAGTATTCTCCACTAGGGGTCATTCACAGTTCCATGTGGTTGAACCGTTCGACCATGCCGAAGCATGTGACTCTTCGACCAGTTCAATAAAGGCTTTCACTGCAGCTGTTGATGACTCGTGTCGGATTATACGCAGATGGCGCTTGACATCTAGAAACACAGTGCTTCTTGAAGGCGCATCGTCACCAAAGGCAGCTCACAAACGGTCAACACTCTGCTGCTGCTGTTTCATTAAACCGCATTTGTGGCAGCACAAAATCATCGCTCTCCAGTGAAATCGACTGAGTTCCATCCTTACAGTCAGAGTGTGGCAACCCTCCTAGGACTTGTTAGCTGTGCTCGGCTGTTGATCTTGGTTTCTGTGAGTTACAATCACTGAACAACATCCACAATATAGATTACAGTTCACGTTTTTCTCGCCCGGTCAGCTGCATTTCGTTAGTGTACTACGTGTCCGGAGACGTTTTGCTCAGCCGTCGTAGATATTCGCTGGCCCCAATAGTAGACAAATTGCAGAACAGATTTCTTGGTTAATGTGACATAACCTACTGCGAAAAGACATTGTACAACCATGAATGACCAGATTAGTAGATAGCTCTATTGATTTTGTACTTAATCGTTTTTGAAACAAGGTTTATTTGTGATCAGTGTTCATCAAAAACTTTTCATTTGAATTGCACTCTGTCACTCAGGGACCGGAAACAGTGATGCTGTATCTGGCTCATCCGAAACCCCAACAGTCCGGAGTATATACGTTGTGTATCGAGAACCCGGTCGGCAAAGACAGTGTCACATCAGAAGTAAGTGTGACTTGTCGAACAGTTTTTTTGACAAAAGACAAATCGCAATCCTATGACCGGAGGAAAGCTGCACTTTTGTGCAACAACAACAACCTGTCGTTCAGTCGATCTCCCTTAGCATTGTTGATTGCACCGCTTGAGTTGTGCAGACTGTGCAGACATTGGATATCATACAAATATCAAACGTGTTCTGCGGTAGAAAATCATTCTAAAAAGTTTAAAAGGGTACACGAAAATATCAGATAGGTGACAGAAAAAAGAAAAGTATGATTCACGCAAACAAGGTAGAATTCTAGCACTGACATCATACATTCGATTGATGCTAGTCAATAACATCCAAATTTATAGTGTTACATGGTTGCCCAAATTTCATTTCATGACTTGTGATCAATTCATTACACTCAATCGGATTAATTATCTCCAATACTAAGTTTACAGCTTTCATTATTATCTACAGCGTTCCTGGTCTTCCTTTAACCACGTTGCAGTTCCAGTAGTTCATTTTTACTTGCTTGAAATAATAAACGCATCTAAGGAGCTGAGCTTGTATTCTATACACCGACTTCATCACTGTGCCATGTAGGTTGTCGTCTTGCCAACTGAAGTAGTCCCCGTGGTGACTCCTAGTTTGATGGCTCCACCACGCTTCTTGCGTGGTCCACTACCTTGGCCACCCACGGAAATTGGGGAATTGATCACTTGTCCTGGACAAGTGGCTCTGAAAGAAGATCAGCCAGCCAGTCTAGAAGTGGAAGTAATCGGTCAACCCGCACCAGCTGTCGCATGGTTCCGTAATTCCCAGGCAATCCCGACGGATGGAACACACAAGGTAAGGGAATAACTTCCAATTCCAACTTCGTCTTATTTCGGTTTGTGAATTCATAACCTCATTTCTACTCATCATCACAACCATCTCTTTCTTCCCGGCACAGATGTACCAGCGTCGAGAAGGCACATTTACAATGCTCATAGATCGACCTAATCAACAGGAGGATAGTGGTGTGTACACTTGTGTTGCGACCAACAATGCCGGTCAGGCGGTGCTCCAGTTTAATGTTCAAGTTCAGCCAAAACCCGTTCCCGGTTCGCCTCCAAGATTCGTGCAAAAGCCGCCTACTCAGCTTGTCGGAGAAATGTATAAGCCGCTGACCATGCATGCCACAGTCGAGGGAACTCCGAAGCCAGTATTATCTTGGCATAAAGATGGAGTGTAAGTTATTAAATGACATTTCCTATTACCAATATAATAAGAGTATTCTCCATAAAGAAAATATACCTTATTTCGTGTTTCATTTGGTAACACAATTTCGGGTATTATTATGTATTCCAGTACAAAATTATGAATTTCAGTGTTACCATGGTTGCACGCAAATCTGGATGTGGTTGTGTAACGTTCCTGACTGAACGTATGAGTTTTGTTTAACCGCTGAATATTCACCCATCGGTGTATGTAAAGCGATTAGTTTACCCGACTTGACTTAGCCTGTTCTCAGTTTCAAGTTCGAATCCGAACTAAGACGAAAGACGTTCATCGATGAAGTCAACTGTAAACCTGTTTTTTAGTTCATTCTATTCCACTCTGTTGCGTACCACGTTTGTTCTAAGTTGATCTAAGTTACTCACCCCCGCTTTCCATGTAAATGAGGAGTCCATTGCTGTTTTTGTATTTTCCTCCGCCAGACTTGTATCCAGTACACCAGACGGTCGAATAACGATAGATATGCGTGACTATGAGACAACTGTTTATATTGCCTCACTGCAACCTGAGGACTTGGGACAATGGCAATGCTTGGCTGCCAACACTGCCGGAACAGCCTCTTCGCGGACACTCGTTTTTACGGCTCCACGTAAGTCAGAGATGAGCTTATTGATGCTTCAAAGCAGTAAGCAGTCACTTTCTCGAGTGAAAAATAGACAACATTGATTGATCGTCATAAAAGTTTGCATGTGATCTTTATTCTTTTATTCTTTATTCTCTTCCTTCATTTAATTCTCTCCTATCCACCAAACGGAATCCCTTCCGGGCCACAAACAGAAACCGTGACCGAAGTTAAACCAATCGAAACTATACCTCCAACGAAGCAACCGACGATGCGCCCGCCCAGATTCATACAATTCCTACAACCGGTCACAGCTACAGAGGCATCCGAAGTCAGGTAAGTTGATTTATTTTTACCATATCAACTTTACTTGATTACTACATCGTCGATTCTGGGCTCAGTTAGTGCCGATGAGAGGATATTACGTAACGGATGTGTCATTTCAATTGCTAATAGTCAATCTTAAGTGGGCTAATCTGTACTGTCAGTCATTCTTCCGAATTTCATATTTTATTCCCCCCATCAGCTTCTTCGTGGAATTCGATGGGGAACCGGTCCCGGAAGTGAAATGGCTTCGCGGAGATGCACCACTGGAAGCTAGACCAGATTTTAAGGTGAGTTTTACATAGGTTGATTTGATTCGGAGGTGGGCCCTGAGAGTCTTCATCTCACGTTTTACCACCTATCTTTACGTGTGGACGTACACCGCACACATATCCCTTTATTTCTTTAAGTAACTAAAATCTGATCGATAATGTGATTGTATGGTGGATGATGTCGAGCATGTGAAGGCATGTCAGAAATTAAAACGGTTCTCTATGTACAAATCACGGTGAATGGTCATGAAATGGATATCGCTCTCAGCTAGATGCCACAGCATCTTTGATAATAGAGATCCAGTAACAAAATCTGGCATACCCTGAACTGTGTTTCATTGATACTGTTTCAAACAGATCAGTAACAAAGATCATCTTTTTATCAGATGCATCTTCTCACTGTTTTTGCGAAAATTTTTTAATCATTGTTGGTGATGTTAGTCATTACGATCAATATTCAATTTTTCAACGACAGTTGCAGCCATTCTTACTCTTCGAACACCTTCGTTTTTTACAGATCTTAATTACATCAAACACCAGCCAACTGATCATACCTGAAGTTTTCCCGGAAGATGCTGGAACGTATTCGGTTTTGCTACAAAATCCTGCTGGACAAGCATGTAGTAAATCTCGGTTGGTTGTTGAATCACCGCCAGAACAGAAGCCATACGGAAAACCACCGAAATTTGAGCAGCCCTTAATGCATCCAGTCACAGTCAAAGCCGGTGAGCCGGTGACATTCGAGTGCAAAGTAAGTTTCTCTATTAGCTGACCGAAATTTTGAATATCTGGCTGTTGATTTAGTTCGAATTGCCACTTGTGCAAGCGGAATTGACTCTATGTATCGTATTTTTTCGCTCAAGGTCCACGGTGAACCAGTCCCTCAAGTGCATTGGGAAAGAAATGGTGTTCGTCTCCCAACGACGGATACTGCACATCATCGAATGTTCGATGCTCCTCCATTTCACACTTTGGTGATTTGTGAGGCCGTCCCAGAAGACACGGCCGAGTATAGTTGTGTAGCGGTGAATCCGTTCGGTCAAGATATTACCAAGACCAATGTGCGAGTTGAAGGTAAGGGAGAACATCCGTCTAGTCCATTGGACAAATTCAATAACGCATTGTTTATTATTTTGATCCTCAATGTTTACGCCTAATTACAATGAAGGTACTAAACCATCGGTTATGTAGAGAGAAACAGAACTTTTCTGCGAGGAAATCTAGATAAGGCGCAGCGAGTAGATGTATAAAATAAGCTAGCATATCCTTAGCTGAAGCGGGTTGTATTGATCACAATCTGCGATGTTTGATTACATGCATGATGACGATGATCGGCTTGTCAGGTTAACGTTATTACTGATTTCCCGAATTGAGCGGCTTTAACTTCAGCCATCTTTCAGCATCGTTTGCAAGTCCCTTCAGTCAATCGGAGAACCGTTCGACTTTCTCCTGTTACTCAACAGAATTTAATCTCTTTCAAAGATATGAAAACAAACTGCGGCTATTGTTGGCGAATTAATCAGCTTCCAATATCTTACAGTAAGCTAAATCAACAAAACGTAGACGCAACCTGGTGAAGAGATACTAAAGCCGTTTGATTTTTAATTCCTTTAACCGTTCGTTTAAATAAAAGAATCGAATTGAAAGAAATTTAAATGTGTAATAATGGAAAACCGGTCATCTTATAAAAATGACACATGAACTTATTATTCCTTCAACGGCAATGTACGCCTCAGGAAGCAATCGAGTCTTACCCTGGTTTAGATAAACTTGACTTTTGCCCACGTCACATATGAAAGACCTTGGCAGACTGCTAGGTCCATTTTAGTCACGTGACCCAAAGTGAGCGCCTCGCCCACGCCTGTCGGTTTGGGGGTTGATTGATTNTGTTCATTTGTTTGATTCTGACTGCCCTGAGTACACGTGTGTTTGTTTTTGAAATCCGCTTTTCACGCGTTTCGCCTGGTGTTGGCGACCCACTGAACCGCTGTTAGGTTTGGCGATAGATGCAGCAAATAACCACCAAGAAGTCGGAATTGATTGTACATATTTTTCAGGATCAATTCCCAATCTGTTTCACACGGAAGCTCCACAATCACTCACTCATTGGCGCAGCTGCTTTTACTTCAACCCCTATACCAATCCCTAATACAGACTCGAAGTGATTCCTGCAAATCTTGTGATTGATATTTCGAAAATTCTTTGAGAAATAGGAAAAGTTGTTCCAGCAGTTCAATGTTTGTCAAGAAAACACTCGGAGGTATACCTATTTGTCCAAAAGCTGGAAACTATATAACACTTGGCGGCAGTCGTTAGATCTGCTATTTTATGCGCCCGTACCTTGAATTAATTGGACTTTCAAATATAACGCACATATGAATCCTATTCGATCTATAACATATTAGACAGGTAAGTACAACTAATCCTTGACAAAGCTTACATAATCTAGAGAGTAACCGTACTTATCATTTTGATGCTCTGTTTATCAAGACAAGTGAATGAGTTTTACTGCATTTTCTGCCTCAACTTTATCAGTTCCAGTTCAACCAACCACTTTGGTCGCACCCAAGATTTTACAAGCACCAAAAACTATGACTGTCCTTGAGTCGCAACCGGTGACTTTTACCGCCCGAGTAACAGGAACACCGAGTAAGTGATATCAGTCAACATGCAGATGCTTATTCACCGTACGGTGTTCAAGTCCTAATTAGTCATCGTTGCTTTTAAATTAGATGTGAGACGGCCGAAAATTTTATTCTGGTCAGCGAATGTACTATTGATTTCATCATGCTTTATTGTAATCAACACAGTGGTTCTTCTTAGTAAGAAATTTTATTGCTTTTTACTAATTATTAATCGGTATGAGTTTCGCGGTGAGCTCATTTTGTCTACTGTGCATTTTCATTTCATGCTGTAGTGCCTGAAGTGACCTGGTTGTGCCGAGGTGAAGTGATTAAGCCTTCCAGCTACTTCCAACCTCAACTGCTTCCAACTGGTGAAGCACGCTTGTTTATTGCAAGCGCTTACATGGAGGATGCTGGAGACTACACTATTCATGTTACGAATCCCGCTGGAGAAGCTACTGCCACTGCTAATTTGATCGTTCAACGTAAGTCTAACCGTTCATGCTTTACCACCTCTGACCCCATCTGCGCCCCGTGAAGGGAAAGCCAAAATCATTAAATCACCCCTAATTTTCCCCCCTATAGAACCACAACCACAGGCAGTGGCACCTAGATTTACTACTCCATTACCACAAGGACCAATTCATGTGCAAGAGGGAAAAACGTTACGACTGACGGTTGAGTTCGAAGGCGAGCCGCAACCTCAAATCACTTGGTATCGCGATGGAGTACCACAAACAACCACTCCCGATTGGAAGGTAGGTGCTCATCTGGATTAACCCAGAAATAACTGGTAAATAGTATTTCTATTTACATTTATCTGTTCAACAATTTTTCCTTTACATCGTCTACCAAACTCAATCACTTCAGTGTGAGCCCTATGTTCTGGAAATACATTGTCTCTGTTTGCGGATTGTATAATGAAGCTTGAATGTCTTAAGTTTCATACAATCGGATTGCTGGGAGCTCAATGTTTCCTTCAACGATATGGTCAGAATTAGAGCATCACATATGTCACAACTGCAACTTGAACAAACATATGAAGTTAAAGATGCAAAGCTTATTTTGATTTTTCTGTTCTGTTCCAAGAAAAAGACTCTTTCGAAGAGTTTCTGAGCACATTGTAAAATTGGATAAGCTTACTAGTACTAACCGGTCAGACAATGGCACTGAAAGTTTCCCACAGTTTTTTTATCCCTCGATTGTAAAAATCACATTAAATATTTTACTGTTATCTCTGATAGATTATCACGGAACAGCACATATCAATACTCGAATGCCGCGAGGTATTCCACAGTGATTCGGCCACATGGACTGTGCATGCAACTAACAAGGCTGGTCGAGCCACAACACAGACGCAGATCATCGTTGTTCCGTTAAAACCAGGTGAGCTTTTTGTTTACACAAAAGATTTTTCGCGTTTCATAAAATCCGAGATCACAAATTTCCTTAGAGAGCATTTTCAAAGGATCGGTACTGTACAATTTTTATCAAATCAATTTTTCACTCAGTACAATTCAGGTGATCATGAAATACTGCCTTGATAAAAAAGTTGGCAAAACACTACCATTGCTGTAGTTTGTCTGTTGCTTATATTTTTTCAAATTTATCTTTCACTCCAGTCCCTGAGGAACAGAAGCCGAAGAAAACTCCCCCAGTTTTCCAAAAGCGTCTTCCAGCACACGTGAAGTCTCGAGAACATCATACAGTCACGTGAGTGGAGATAAAGCATTTTCACACTTAATGATGAACGAATAACCCAGATGTTTTATTAATAATTCCATCGCTTTGAAATGCATTTTACGTGTGGAAGGAATGCACTTTCAAGGAATGGAACCCGCAATTGCAATGAATCGGAATCGTACACAGTACCCAGTACCGGTAAAAATACAAAATGAGCCCATCTAAACCTAGGATTCAAAGTTTTCTAATGAGTCGTATAAAACTGACTAACAGCATAAATACTTATCACAGTTATGTTTTAAGGTAGGTGTAGTTAATATAAAGATTGTTGATAAGCTCCACACGATGAAAAGCTCAGTGAACATCTGTTTAATTCTAGTTGGGATTCTTCAACAGTGTACTTTTTATCATTAACGGGACTCTAATTGAGGACATTCGCGTTGATAAAAGAAATAATTTTCAGGAAGAAGGAAATGAACAGTCAGAGGAATGTTATAAGATATAAAGAAACGAAGGAAGTAAGGCGACTCTAATGGTTTTAGACCACCCAGCCTCCGGGTGATAACTTGGTGACCTTAAATACTTGGGTACAGCCGCTACATGTGCTAGCCGTTGATCATGTAGTTTTGGGGGTAAGAGCTTCTACTACCAACCCAAAGGTTCACGGTTTGAGACCTAGCTAGGACAAAAAGATAGTATGCACTTCTGGTGGATCCCGATCCCGATTCATTTAAGTCACGACTGAATGAGGCATTGAACCACCTAACTTTTCAGTACCGGTGAGTGAACGCCAGAATTTGCTATTCATTCATTCGACGGGATATATTTGAAATCAATCTGTTTATCTATTTTTGAATTTTTTCAGGTTGCAATGTATTGTGACGGGTCAACCAAAACCGGTAGTTCGCTGGTTCCACAACGGAGTCGAATTCTATCCACAACAAATACCTANCCTATTCCTCAGCCAAAACCGAGTGCAAAACACGAAATTCTGATTGACCATGCCACACACACCTACACCCTCTACGTGCACGACTTGAATGCGTTCGATGTGGGTGAGATTATGGTTCGTGCTGAGAATGAGTTGGGTGTCACAATGTGCCAAAGCACATTGGAATTGGAGGTAGTCGATGGCCAGGTTGTGGAACCACGTTTTGTATTGCAACCTCCCGATCGCGTACAAGTGCAACCAGGTCAGACAGCCAGGCTGGAATGCGAAGTCGAGGCGCAGCCACCTGTCACATTCCGCTGGTATTTAAATGGACTACAAGTAGACCAAACCATGAAACAATACAGATTGGTTGAGGAAGTCAATCGAACAACCTTGATCATCCCAAAAGTAGAACCCGCTAGTCTTCCGACTCAGGTAAAGGTGGAAGCAGCAGCCCCTACCGGAACTAAGATTGTCTCTACCTCGGTTATGGAAATGATGGCATCTACCGATTTGACAGACACATCCTTCACGACGACTCCTGTAGAAACTAGTGTTCAGGAACCAATCACACCACTTCACTTCAAAAGGCAACTGCCAGTCAAAATGACGTTTGATGATCGTACCGAATCGTTGCAGTTCGATGTAGAAGTTGAGCAGCTACCAGCTGAACAAACACAACCAGTATTTAGCTGGTATATGAACGGTATTGAACTGTTTCTTCAACCATTAGATCGTAAACCTGAACGTTTCCAGGTATCACAGGAGTATCCGACTCATAGCCGTTTGATAATCGATCGTCCCACTCAGATAGATGTGGGCGAACTGACGTGTACAGTCACACGAAAATCGGATATTGGAGAAGAGAAGATTCGTTCAACGTGTGCGCTGGAAATCACTTATCCGGAAACACCAAAACCAGAGGAAACATTCAAAACAGAAGTTAAAATATCACCTGAGTTTTCTCAACCATTACCGGCTACCGTGACTCCGACAATTGGGTCAGATGTTGTTTTGCTGATCACCGTGAAGGGCTCTCCAATGCCGACCATGAATTGGGGGATAAGTTCATCTGACACAGCACAACGTTGTGAAATTGCCCCAGCAGAACAAATAGACACTTACACTACTCAGTATAAAATGGTGATACACGATTTTCGATCGACTGACCGCGATTCGGTAATCGAAGCTACTGCAACCTCCGAGCTAGGACAAGTGACCAGTGTCTGTCAACTACTACTACCACAGGAAACAACTCAACCCAAACCTGAAGAGAGGGTTAGAGTAGAATTTACCAAGGCCCTGAGTCCACTGAAACAGGTTCAACTGGATGAAACTGTTGTTATGGAGTGTGCTATCAAACCGACCCCAGTTCCAGTGGAATTTCATTGGGATGTGGCTGGTACAGAAATCATACCCCAGACGTCGTTGGTTGATATACAAACGACACAGTACTCAACTACTATGCGAATAAAACACATGCGTCCGGAATACGCTGGAACAGTTACGGTGATCGCAGCACATCCTCAGGGCCAAGTAGTCAGTAGTGGAGAATTGCGAGTCGCACCTATTCAAACAACTTTGATTCAAACGGAGTCAAAGGAAATGCAGCCGGTGCTAACCGAAGTGCGTCCTGAGGTGAAATTGGAATTCTCAAAGCCTCTGGGAGCTACGGTTCTTCCGGAAACCCAAGAAACACAACAATTGGTGTAAGTTATCAAAAGAGTAACCTAGTCGCTAACTTATAACTCCCTTGTCTCTTAGTCTGAACCCATCAAGCGATGTTTTTCCATGAGAGCACGTTCCAAATACGCTGGAAAACCAGTCATGGTTTTATTGTCTTCTAAAGGCAGTCGCACAAATTATATAAAAGGCAAAGTCGTTCACAAGTTTCCAGATTCAGGGCTGTTCAACCATAGTTATTGACGAGTGGTGAGGATGGTGTGTGCGACTACAAAATCACCGAAAATCATTAGTTTCCTTTGTAATAAGCTTTTTCGACAAATCATTACCACAGAACATGTAACTCCCTGGTTACCCTAACCGGTATTCAGTGGTAAAGATGAATGAGCGATAATAAACGTATTATTGTCATAAAATTCGCAGCAAGTTCTAATTGGAATGGCAATCTCATTAGAGCGAGAGCATGTAAATCGTTGTTCCGAAGGATCAATCAATTTCAACACTGTGACACGTGCGATGTTGGCCGTTTTAGAAAGGAGTGATTATATAAATGACACACAAGACTTGAAAAATGAATAACTTACAAAGCAACTTTCTACAGTTTATTGGGTCATACCAATAGTAAATTATGAAAGGGATTTAATTGAATGCAACTTAATTCCCTCTCCAGTTTGGAATGCCAGATTCTATCCGAACAACAACCAACGACCCTTCAGTGGCTACGGGGAGAGCAAGAACTATTCCCGTCTGATCGTATGGAAATGGTCTACCTTGAAGACTCCGGAATATCTCGGCTCACTGTTCATCAGGTTCAGCCCACTGATTCTGGTCAATACACATGTGTGGCAACCGTGACACACGTGGAACCCAAAACTGGAGAGGTCGCGAGCCAGGCAATAAAGACAACGACAAAAGTGGATATCCAAGGTAAGAACGATTGATAGCATATCACGAGCATGGTCCTCTAAGTGAGAGCATAACGCACAGGAGAGATCGGACAAAAGCCAGTAAACCATTAGAACAGAAAAAACGCAGCATGAACACAGTAAACATGAAATCACAAATCAATCACAAAACAGTTAAATCCACAAACGCCACAAACAAACGGCAAAAGCTCAAGACGTACTATGAAAAAGCGTAGATGACAGCTGGACAAAAAACACAAAAAATTCATCTTTTGCATATTCAAAATACGGAACACAAAAATGAGAGAACCATCCACTTCTTGCAACAAAACCAAAAAATACAGCTAAGATAGCATTCAGAGTGTAAAATATCACTCAGCCATAGAAAAAATAACCAGAAAGTCAACAACGAACGTAACCATATTTGTCGCCTTGCAGCTAAATACAACACCTACCCCATCATAATAGGGTCTTACTTGCTTCATCACTCGAAGTCCCGAGGTAAAGTAAACAGATAAAAATAAAAACGAGCGGAAACCAAAAGTACAAATCGAGTTCACAACTACAAAAATTCAAACGTGAAAATGAGCGTTTTCATGCTTGCTGGTCTGTGTCCACGCACTGTTCCGCTCTGGATCCTATTGTTCTGTGAACTACATGGCACCTAATTGCCTCCCCGCGATTATGAGAATACCACAGTTTTCTCCTTCACCCGAGGTAGAATAGCTTCGTGTCAATTAGTCTCACGGCTGGTGCCATTTTTAATTTGTCCAAACGCATTACTCATTTACTCCTTGCCTCAATTCATCTTATCTCGCCCCATCTAATCATTTTGCTGATCACAATCTCATACGTTTAGATAGTATGGCACAAAGCCAACTGATCTTTGCATCAGAGTTGCTCAGTGTGGCACGAATCGATGATCTTCCTTCCGTCTGGTCGTTTTCGTTTGTCGGATTTTCTTTATAAATGCAAAAGTTCTTTGGTGGCATTCAGTTGCCTCCAATTTCATTTCTGTTGTACAATCCAAGCCAGCATCCAATTGCTCACCTGTTTGACCTGTTTCATACAGCACCTGTGGAACAAGCCCCGACCCTCGTGCAACAGGCAGTCGAAGAGAAGCAACCCGTTGAGGAAACCAAATTGGCCTTCACCAAACCGGTTACGCCAAGCATTCAGACTGCTGCGGAACACAAAATACTTGAGTAAGTAACCCAATACCCATCCGAGAAAATAATCCCGTTATTCAAAACAAAAGCGCCATGGTGACCAAGGAGATTTTCCCTGTTGCACTCTTTTGCAATGATTTAGCGATTAGGTTGACCTATGAGCGGCATTTTCCGTGTGACAGTGGATCGCTTGTCGAGTGAGATGGATAGTTTTAACCAATCGCATTCTACCGTATTTGTCTCCATTATCAGGTTGGAATGTGAAATTGAAGCGGAGCTGAAACCGATTCAAGTTGTTTGGACTCTGAACGACCAGGAGTTGGTTCAATCGGATCGGGTGGAGATGTTGTACATCGAGGATGTCGGCGTCGCGCGTCTCACCATTCACGATGTTGTTCCATCTGATTCCGGGGACTATACTTGTGTTGTGAAGGGTCGAGTGATAGAGCCAACCACCGGTCAAGAGGTGCCCAAGACCATCAAATCCACCACACATGTTGCTATCAAAGGTAATCTGATTTATACACAACTCAAAGCTGGCTTAGCAAGTACATATGCATTGATGAGCGAGATTGGAGAGGACGTATACACCGCATCACCTACTGCACATGAACCGATGGAATTATATCAGGCACTAGGAGATAGACATCATGCACGTGTGTTTGTCAGTGGAGAATCGGCGAACACTTGGGACACATTTGGCATATCATGATGTGTTGGAGTTAGAAATCGTTCAGTACACAACCGCATATCACAAATCTGTTTGAATGAGAGACCGCATTTTGGGGTGATCATGCGGAATGAAAATGGATGAAACCACTCAATATATGGCTTGCTGATTCATTGGAGTAGCGACCGGTTGATTGAACGATGGAACGGCTGGTCCGTTGCTTGGTTGGTTGGTTGGTTGACTGTTTGGTTGGTTGACTGGTTGTTTGGTTGGTTATTTTATTGTCCGATTTGTCGCTAGCTTAGGTAGTGGTGGTCGAGTGGTTGGAGTCGCAGCGATGGGCGTGCTTCGTGCCCTAGCTCGTTCCGCGTTTCGAACTGAACCACTGCTACCAGACTGTGATGGTAACCAGCTTTGTTGTCGTGCGACTAAATACCACACCTACCCTATCCTATTGGGGTCTTACTTGGTTCATCACTCCAAGTCCCGAGGTTTAGTTTACCGATTAAAATAAAAATGAGCAGTAGCTAGGAGTAACTATCAAGTTCACCCTTTCTACTGTTCATCACTCAATGGTTTGTGGATCTTTGATCAATCGATCGTTTCTATCACCGTTGGACTGATTGGTCTCATCGATGTGGGAGTGTGAATTTGTGATAATGTCGTCAACGTGTCTGCGAACGTCTATATAACGTCTACTTCGTTCTCACGTTTCCCCACCCCACCCCCACATCCCGTTATCAGTGGATCAAATACCATCAGAAAGCATACAGGAAATGAGTCCGGCCGAAGAACAGAAACCGGCGATCAGCGAGCAAGCCCAAGCACCGGAGCTCACCTTCATCAAGCCATTAACCTGTCAGATTCAAACAGGACCACAAGAGAGCAAACTTCTCACGTAAGCTCGCACCGATCATTGCATACGCGATTATTCAATTGCCCATATAATCTATTCATCAAACGAGGGACATTTTGTCTTCAATTCGGGAATGGTCATTTATTCTCTCTCTCTCTCACTCTCACTCTCTCTCTCTCTATGTCTATGTCTCTCTCTCTCATTCTCTCTCCCTCTCTCTCTCTCTTTCTCGCTCTCTGCATCTCTATGTCTTTCGTATTCGCCATGCAATCCTTGTCGCATCCTGATCACGCCATCGCATCTTTAGTCCCGACCCACTGGCCATCATAGATTCATCGTTCATGTCATCTCATCTCATTGCATCCACTTCGGTTTCCAATTGCAGATTCGAGGGCACATTGAAAACGGATGCACCAGAAGTGACAAAAGTCACTTGGTTACACGATGGCAAGGAATTAGTCACCTCAGATCGTTACGAGACAATTTACGAGGAGGAGATTGGCACCGTTCAACTGATTGTTCACGATGTGGCCCCAACTGATTCGGGAGAGTACACATGCGTGGCCACTGCAGAGGTGGTTGAAACACAAACAGGACGTCGTCTGTCGAAAACGATCAAATCGATCGCCCAGGTCACCATCGAAGGTATGTTTTTTTAGTTCTTTCCGCGTTGTTCTGCCTTTCAGAGGCAGCTTCGGCATTTTTTTTATATGATTATTTTCATTTTTGTTTTTTTTGTTCCTCCATTTTGTAGCTGGATCTGTTGTCGTTCACAGGCGGTTGATTGTTCAGCCGTTGAACTTTTCGGAATTGGGCCATAAAATCGTTTTTCGTCCGTAACTCTCATCCTTGCATTTCGGTGTTTTGTTCGTTGTCTTCAGCTGATGACTGTTCCTTCGAACTTATTTTTCGCAATAGTTTTCTAGGTATTTTTTTTCTAACCACTTTTTTCTTTGTTTGCGCTCTTGGTCGTGTTTTTTCAACGGTTCCTTCCATCTCTTATTCTTTGCCTCATCGTGTTTTATTGAAAGGTTCTTCTTAACGTATACTGTTTTGCTCAGCTCTCTTCGTTTCCTCTGTTGAAATGGTGCTTCTGGGTTCTTTGCGCTTTGTATATTTGCATTCTAACTTGGGTACTCTAGCTTCCTCCGTTTTCAATAAGAATCGTTTGTGTGTAGATTTTTGCTAATTTGTGTTCTCTTTTTATTCGTTTAATTGCAGTATCACGTAAACTGACATTATTATCGGATTTTTTCTTTTTCCATTGTTCATCGGGGTTGTTTAGAGCTCGTTTATATCTCATAATGCGGGAGTTGCGGATAGATACCAGTTTAATATGGTAATTTTAGCCATCCGGAATGTTATTTCTGTGAGTTCAACTCATTCGTTCTCGGTATATTCCTTGGCTTTGCTTATCGATAGGTTAAGGGAAGTGGGTTTATCGAAAGAGTTTAAAAGTGAAGTGACACTACCGAAGAAAATCTTTTTTTGTCTCATATGTTTTCTGTTTGGTTGTGTTCTCTTCTGTGCCTTCAACCACCCCGCATATAGTGAACAGATTCCATTCCTTTCAGTTCTTTCACAAGTGTTCCTCTGATTGATTTTCGCCTATTACACCGCTTTCACTACCAGTGTGATTTTGATAAAAATAATAACTGAAGTCATAGCTTGACTGAACGGTTATTGCACCTCCGGTTGGTGTTGATTCACTATCCTTTTTCTGAACCATTCTGACTATTTTCTATATTTATTCAGTGTTCTTCTTATACTGCTTTCTTACGCACTAGAAAGATAAAATGTGTTCTTCTCTTTGTCTTTTTCTAAGCTAAAACCTTTGGTCATTGCAGTGAAATTCATCTTTCCTCGGTTGTAATTTGTTCTCAAGTAGCTGTGTGTACGATTCGAAAATCACTCAGTATCTCTTCTGTGTGTTTCACTCCTCTCAGCTCCGAAATCCATTGAGGCGAAGAAGGAGGAGGAGGCCCTGCTGAAGGTGGCTCCAAAGGCAGAACTTGAATTTGTCAAACCCGTAATGCCTGAGATTATAACCGTCTCTGATCAAGAACTACGACTCGAGTAAGATTTTCTCTTTCTCTCTGTGTGTGCAATTGCCTATGAGTAAACACTCGCTACCTAGTATGAATCTATTCGCTTAACCAAATGTAAATATCTATATTTGTACTCATTATAAATATACTGTACGGTTTCCAGGTAGGGGATTTCCATGGAAATGAAGGTCAGTTAGCTTTATGATCACTTACACACGTTGTAGACAGTTTTCTGATTTCCAAACTACAGTTGTTCAGAATATCCTCGGGAATGAATATAATTGACTGATGGACTAAATAGCTAACTGACCAACCAACTGACTCATGAATGGACTCGCAGATTTTATAGCCACCCGACCAAATGATTGACTGAGCGCTGATAAAATGTTTTCTTTAATAATTTCTTACAAGGTTTTTATTTGAGGAAATGGAGTTCCAATTTATGAAACTAAAAAAACACTCTCATACTTATTTTAGTATGGAGTGCCAAATCCAAGCTGATATTCTACCTCAAAGTGTTCAGTGGCTTCACGATGGGCAAGAAATGATCAAGACCGATCGTGTTGAGATGAGTTATGTGGAAGACACCGGGCTGGCACAACTAACTGTACACCAAGTGACTCCAGCTGACTCGGGTGAATACTCATGTGTGGTCGTCGGTCAGGTGATCGAGCCCAAGACAGGTGAACATCTCATCAAGACCATTACTTCCACCTCAGAAGTAACAATTCCAGGTAATTTTTTGTCGTGTATTGTTTGTTTTCCAGCTGTTCAAGACCCGTATTTGTTTCAGAACGTTTACCTTTTTTGTCCTTTGACCTATCAAAATGTATTGCCAATGTTATAATAGATTACTCAGCCGGATACCGCGTTGTTTAAAGCACTTGATTTCCAACCATCTCATTATTCTATTCTCTAGCGGAATCAGTAATCGTGAGTGAAGTGACCGAGCAGAGGCCGGATGTAAGTGAAATCACTTCAATACCAGAACTTTTGTTCATAAAACCCCTTCAACCGGAACTTCGTCAGTTAGAGAACGAAGAAAAATTACTCATGTGAGTGACATTTCGATCTTCAATAACTTTGAAATTTGTCTACATGGTGAATTTCCGATGACCCGCGAGACACTTCTCCGTTTTCCTCCTCTTAACCTCCATTCAGCCTCGAATGTCAGATAAAATCCGACGTGGAACCGGTTCAAATTGTATGGCAACGTGACGGTCAAGAACTAATCGCATCAGAGCATACGGAAATCGTGCCCATCGATGAAGTTGGCACAACTCGTGTAATTATTCATCAGGTCACCGCAGTAGATTCGGGCAAGTACACGTGTTCAGTTACCGCACCCGGTGTGCAAACGGATGCAATCAAGGCACTTCCTCGAACTATCGCCTCTAGTGCTGTTGTTACAATCGAAGGTTTGTTCCTGAGTGGTACTTTTTACCCTTTCTTCATTGTTTGTATTTGACAAGCCATCACGAATAAAAAGCGATTCTAGTTTTGAAAGCGACCAACGCATACACTATGGTGCAGATAATGACCTTTACCCAGCTTAGCATGCCATTATAATAATTGTCCCAGGTACATTATTTTTAGTGACTGATATATGTTTGAAGTTCAATAAAACTTGAAGATGCTTGAAGATTCAATAGTTTTACATAAAATAAAAATGGACATTTGTTAATGTAGTAAATTGGACATTTCTAATGAATCTTTTGAAGTCAACTTACGCGTGATTTTCTATAGATACTCTTGCTGATTGAATCTGTACAATGTTTACCAGATAATACCACCAAAATAAACCATGGCGCTGATGTTCTGCACCATCCTTTTCACGCATGAAAACAGTTCGGTTACCGTCACCCATCACTAATACCAGTCAATGTTCACGAATCACATAAGATTTTTTGATGCAATGTTTAAGGCCACATAAAAGCATTTACGGTGCTTGAAACCTGTATCAATGTAAAACTTAATTTTCCTGGAAGATAGTAATTGAAAGTTTTAATGTTACATTTTTGTAACAATACTGTTAGTGGATTTAAATCGGATGTCGGACCTCGTTTTCACTATCCAAATTCATTTTTTCTTTCCTCATACAGCAGCAACGTGTGCCGATTATTCTCAAGTCCTGGTTAAATCGTTATTGGCACCATACAAATTGTGTACTGTTTTATTTTGGTTTGCCTTAGGAGGTGGTGGTCATTAGCTCAAAGAGTGTGTTGGAATCCTCCTGCTGTCGTCTAACTTTTCCCGTGTCCCGTTTCCCCAGACATCGTTTAACAGACCTCATACCTCGTCCTGTCACTGTGCAGTCAACCAATGAGCAGCAAATGACAGTTCACTATTAATGTTGCATCGTATTGTATTGTAATAAGTTCTGTAGGCATAAAGCCTACATTTCATTTGATTTTCCCCCACTGTCACTGAAAGTCAGATAGACTGAGAATTTTGCATAACTTCATTGATTCTCTTACTTTTTTTCTCAGAACAAGTTGCTGAAATATCAAGCCCAACGGAACCTGTTTCGCTCAAGCCGACAGAAGATAAACCGGGGATTCTTGAATTTGTAAAACCAGTCACTCCAGAATTTCGAACAGTCTCGGAAAAACAAACTGACCTTGAGTGAGATTTTGAATAAATCATTTTATACTTATTTATTTTATGCTACAATTTTATGTAGCACTTATAGAACGATTAAAGTGATCTGTTTACTTTAATTTTCATCCACCGAATACGCTTATTTATCGCTGTGATAATCAAAAGACATAACAGTCCTTAGGATTGCCCATCACAGGTAATAATGGCCTCTTAAGTGATAAATTCCTTTTTTCCAATTCATTTGCTGATTTTCTTTTGTCCATCATCAGCATCATCATCATCACGAATGGCCAAGGTGGATAGATAGTGAGTTTCTAATCTGTAGGAGGGGAAAAGAAAGCGAACGACTTTAGTCAACGAGCAGAATGCACAGTTCATCTGTGCATGCCCCCTGCGTTAAGCATCCTTATCTGATAAGTTAAGACAAGAATAACTTCACTACTTTCGGGATGCTGCCAT